GCTCTTGGCCGGGTCACTTACTGGATGGGATGTGGCCCTGGTTTCGAGGGAGTTAAAACAGCTGAGAAGTGATTAAAAATGAAACTGAACTTTGCTCGACTGGGAGGAGGCAAAAACGCTGGTAGCGTGTGCAGAGGAGATAATCTAGTTAAAGATTAGCCCCAGTTCCTCTTTGTGTCCTGCTTTGCCCAGCATGACTATACGCAAATAATCCCAAGTGTCCAAAGATTAGTTAGCTCAGGAGTTTAAACTCCCTATACCCCTGGCTTGGGTGGAAGGGGGTTTCTGGAGGATGAATTATTTCAAAGACTATGCTTGGCTTATACTTACTCTATTGTATTTTGCCCACTTCTGGTGAGTCCTTGTTGAACCTCAGTGCCTGGACTTGGGTGCCCTTGGTGCAGAGTCCTGGGAATGGATTGGAAATGGGAGCTGATCATTTTGACCTGGTTTTCTGAAGCTTGGAAAGGAGTGGTTTTGGGGCTAGCCTGGGCCAGCTGGGTGGTGAGGCCGAGCTCCTGGCCTCTGGCTCATGCTGGGACTGCTTTCAGCATGCCACATCGCACCTGATTATCAGATCAGGATGGTGTCTGGCATGGAAGGGTAGTGTCTGTATTTCGTCCTGAGACAGCATGTGGCAAAACACCTTCCTCTTGCAGAAGGATCTTCCACTTTTTTTTTTTTGGTAATGTGAAGACCTTCAGTTTCTTCTCTTGTCTTTTAGCTGTGTGCTGTCTGTGGGTGGGTTCAGTTACCCTGACAAATTCATGGATGTGCTAGTTAAATAAGCCATACTTGGGAGGAGTGTTCAGACCAGTGTAAGCTGGTGTTGGTATCTGAGGCTGGATGTGTGCAGAAAAGGAACTGGCTTCTGGAAGGCTTCCTGTTTGAGCAACAACAAGCAATGCCTTTCAGTTCATAAAGGCTTGTATGTTGGCTTATTCATGAGGGGGCACTGCAGGTCAAACTGGGGAATTCTGTGGTTCCAGTCATTAAAACCACATTAATAAAACTGTAGTGCATCTGCTTGGTTGTAGGTGACTGTCCTTAGTTGTGGTTCAAGGCACAGGACTCGCTCCAGGCTGCAAACAGACTTCTATGCTGTCATTCTGACGTGGTGAGGCTTTACAGTCCCAAGTGAGATAAGGGAGTGTGACGTGCACAGAGACAGCAGCTGTGCCTGAGGTGGGGAGAAAGGAACTAGAAATGTGTTATGGGCTGGTGTGGTGTGGTTTGGGGGGTTTTTCCTTTTTTTTTTTTTTTTTTTTTTGTCTGGTCTAGGTGAGTGGCAGAGCCCTCTGAACAAGCAGGCAGGTACTTGCTTTCTCTCACTGACACTTGGAAGTGACTTTACAGCTTTTAGACCTAGAGTGTGAGGGCTACATCTTCTTGCTAATGACCCTGTGGGGTATTCGGTGTTGTGTGTGTGCCTACCTCTAAACCAGCATCTCTTGCAGGAATGATCGGAAGCTTCCAGAAAGAGGAAGATCTGCAGTCAGTGTGTGAAGTGGCTGCCCATGTGTTCAGTGATGGAGTAACAAACTGGGGTCGAGTCGTGACTCTCATCTCATTTGGTGCCTTTGTTGCAAAACACCTGAAAAGCATAAACCAGGAGAAGTGCATCAACTCGCTGGCAGGGATCATCACAGATGCACTCGTCTCATCTAAGCGCGAGTGGCTGATGAGCCAGGGAGGCTGGGTGAGTCACTGCTTGTCCTGAACACTGTGAGCTTTTCGGAACAATTAAATAATTTCCTATTTCTGTGACCTGCTCGCTGACAACCATGTGTGTCAGCAAAGCACAGAGATGACTCACAGCTCCACTTAAAACCACAGTCTGAAACATCTAGCTGGGGTTCTGGTGTTCCAGGAGCTCCTTAAAATGATCTGCCTGAAGCAGTCTTGACTTAAAAATGTTCACCCACCCAGTGCAGAAGGGGTAGCTTTCCCAAAGCGGGGTCAGTCCTGGGTGTGCTGAGCTTGCTTGAAGCTGGTCCACAGGTGCTGTGGTGCTGTCTCACGATTGCCGTTTCTACGGGGTGGGATGGGGCTGTAATGAGTCTTGGAGAGTGCATGTGCTGGATGTGCTGAGTAGGCTGTAGCCCAGCCTGCTCTGCCAGGGAAAAAGGTTTTCCATGCCTTCCTGCCAAAGGAGGGTGGCTGGCAGGGAAGTGACTTTCCCTTCTTTCTTCTAGGAGGGCTTTGTCGACTTCTTTCGAGTTGAGGACTTAGAAAGCAGCATCAGAAACATACTGATGGTGTTTGCAGGCGTGGCTGGACTGGGAGCGAGCTTGGCCTACATGATCCGGTGAGCCAGGGTATGCTGCAGAGGGACAAAACTCTGGTTGGACCAGCTCTGTTTGGGGCTGGTGAGCTGATCACTTCCTCCTGTGAGTATTTACAAAGCTGGACTTGAGCAACCCAAGGAGAATATCTAGGCATCCCCTGAGCAATCCTTTCCCAAGAAGGAAGGTGTGATCTGGTCAGATTGTGGGTACCAATGAGGATTTATTGCTTTGTGAACTAAGTGGAAGAATTGATGTTCTGCTTCCTTCAAGAGGATGATGATGATGGAAAGCTCAAGTGGACTGCTTCAGTTTTATGCTGGAGGGAACTGATCTGCTTAGCAGCAAGCCAGTGAGCACCAGCAGCTCTTGTCTGGACTGAAGTCTCCTGAGCTTGGCATCACAGCTGTTCATGGAGCAGATGTTTCAGGGTTGTGATTGTAGGTTTTTGGAAATAACATCTGCTGGTGTCCTGCTTAAACTTGTGGCTTTTCTGTTGGAGCAGAAGCATTCAATGCGGGGCATTGTGTGAGCCTGCCCCCAGATGTGCTGGCTAGTGGGCCTCCAGCTGCTAGCAGCTCTGCATGCATCTGCCTCTGGAAGCAGTAAAACAACACCAGCAACCAAGACATGCAGCCCGCTGTCAGAACATGGGCCACTGGAGACCTGCATGACCCCTTCCCTACCAGCAGGGCTTTGGCCAGGTCACTGAGCAGACAGAGGAGAAGCAGGGGTAGTGGGGGGCCCAGCATGGGAACCACAGCCAGCTGTGGCATGGCTGCATTGGCCTGTCTGGCTGATATCCGCTACACTGATGCGACTCACCACACACAGGCAGTTTAAAAATAGGGGGTGCATTTGTGAGTATGTAAAACCCCACATGGGGTGGGGAGGCTGCAGAGAACTTGCAAATATCTATAAATCTGTAAAAGATGTACATTTTTTCACAGAGCTAATGATACAAAAAGGGGGAATTTTGAATGTGGTAAAACTGCTTATGGGTGCACTGTACTTCATTCCTCATGAAGTAACATTTTTGTGGTGAAGCTTTCTCCTGCCTTGACTCTTAAGTGAGCCTTTCTGTGATGTACTTGAGTAACATTGCCAGAGAGTGTAGCAAGGCTGGCAACAGTTGATGTTTCTGTTTATTTTAATCTTCTTGGTTATTCAAGCCCTTTTAGTGGGTGGGGAGCTCTGGAAGTCTGTATCAGTTACTTCCTTGTCTTCCTTTCATTTTGATCCTCTAAGCCTGAGTCAAATGAAGCTGATGTTTGAATATAGATGTTTTGGAGCAGAATAAAACTCATCAGCTCAGATCTGAAGCTTGTGTGAGACCCATTGGTGCTGACCCTGGGCTAGATCCCTGGTCCCCAGATGGTAGCGTTGTTTCTTGGTGGGTTTGCAGCACTCATCCACCTTGTTGCCCACTCCATCAGCGGATTGGTTATTCTTCGGAGCTCTACTCTGTGGGACCGGGACCTGCATAGCAAGGAACATCCTCATCCACAGTGCTTGACCTGCAGTCCGAATGATGCCAGATGGAAACTCAAGTGGAGAGCCAAAAGATGGTGCTATTGTCAGGCCTGCTTGTTTGCTGAGCAAGCACTTAGTTTTGTCAATACGTGTCTTTTTTTTTTTTTTTTTAATACCAGAGGACTGAGAAAACCATTGCTATTTCCATTTCCTGCAACAAGATACTGACGTGCTAAATGCTCCAGCTCTGCTTTGCTGATGTGGGCCTGTTAGCACAGATGCTGCCTGTGGGGTGTCCCATGGCCTTTTGGTTATTAAAAAGCCTCTGTGGGCTGTGGAAAACTGCTCTGGGTCTCGTGTCACGTGTTGGGGCTCCCTGGAGCTGCTCCATGCTGAGATGCTCTTCTCCACTGTGTATGTGGGTGGCGGAAATCTGAGGCACCTTGAGCTTGGTGCCTGTGTGCTCTGGCTCTCTGGGTGCCTGTGCTTGGTGACTGGGGCTTGTCACCCTCTGCATCAGTGAGGTAGAAGCCTGTGGCCTTGAGGAGAGAGGACTCTTCCCAGAGCCTGAGAATGAGCTGTGCCCTTTGATTCTTCCAAGGACAGGAAGACACTCTAGGGCTTTTGGCAACTAATATTAGTCTTTTCCCTCCCCTGCTTGGGCAGAGCAAGCTGCCATCGAGTTGGCCTCTTTAGGGGATCCTGCACCCCAAGGCTGCTTCCTGTCCTGCAGCCCCTGGGTTTTGATTCCTG